AAGTGCTGGGATTACAGGCTTGAGCCACCGCGCCCGGCCTGAAAAGCTTTTTTAAAGTGCCAACAACTTTATTATTTGTTTAGATGTTTATGACTGGGCAGATGATGAAATTTAAAATTTTGCAATTTTCCACATCATTGAAAAATATTTCAGTAATCTTTATTGATTGTAATAGTGGAGGCTGGTTACTGATTTTTAGGGGGAATAGCACTAAAAAAATGAAAATAGGCAATATGACTTTCTTGAGTTTGATAACAGCTTCAAGGCAGGTGGTTGCCCTTGAAATGTGATCATTTTTAAAGGAACTTGAGTTATTTTATCTACTGCCATCTGAAAAATAATCAGAAAGGTAATAATGTGTTTGGTGAATCTAAATAAAACGGTAGGGAAATACAGTTTTATATTACTTGATGGTGAAGGACATTTAATCATTATTTGTTTGATGTGGTTGTATTGAAAACCAAGTAAGTGGCTGAGCGCAGTGGCTCACGCCTATACTCTTAGCACTTTGGGAAGCTGAGGCAGGCAGATTGCTTGAGCTCTGGAGCTCGAGACTAGCCTGGGCAACGTAAGGAGACCTCCATCTCTACAAAAAATACAAAAATTAGCTGCATAGTGGCACGTGCCTCTAGTCCCAGCTACTCAGGAGGCGGAGGTGGGACAATTGACCACCTGAGCCTGGGAAGGTTGAGGCTCCAGTGAGCTAAGATTGCACCACTGCACTCCAGCCTGGGTGAAAGAGCAAGACTCCGTCTCAAAAAAAAAAAAATCTCTAATTTTTATTTTTAATAATATTATTTTCCGTATATCTTTACCCAATGATATCTAGTTGAATACAACTATAGTCTGGTTGGAATTTTTTTTCCTTTTATTTAATCTTTAAAATTATCATACAGTCAAACTGGCCTTTTTCGGGAGGTGTGTAGTTCTATGAATTTTAACACGTTGTTAATTCATGTAACCACTACCACAACTGGGAACAATTCCTTCAACCTCCCCAAAAAAACTCCCTCATACTATTCCTGTGTAGTCAGACCCTACCCTTACCCGTAAACCCTGGTAACCATTGATCTATTCTCCTTTACCATAGTTTTCTTTTTTCCAGAATGTCATAGAAATGAAATCATACAGAACATAACCATGGAAGTTGGCTTCTTTCTCTCAACAAAATGCCATTAGATTAATTGAAGTAGTTATGTTTATCAATAGTTTCTTTCTTTGCTAAGTTGTTGGTTGAAATTTTACGGCATCCTGATATTACATCAGATCTGATAAGCTGGCACTGAATTTTTTTAAAACTATGAACATTTTTCATATTAGTTAACTGAGATACTTATAGTTAATTTTTTTAATTGGAATTTGTTGTTTTGTTTGTTTTCACAGTATTTTCAGTTTTATTATAAAAGTACACACCCAATAAAGATTAAGTCATTTCTTAACTCTGCCTGCATTCAACACTTGCTCTTTTTATGTATTTTATTTTATTTATTTTTAGAGACAAGGTCTCGCTACTAGGCTGGTCTTGAACTCCTGGCCTCAAGTGATCCTCCCACCTCGTCCTCCCTAAGTGCTGGGATAACAGGCGTGAGCCACCGTGCCCGGCCAACACTTGCTCTTGAGCAGCTTTCTTTGCTTTTACCATCTTGACAAGTTCGTTGCATCTTTTCATGCAGCCTTTCTTTGTCCTGCCAGGTACTGCTTGTGCTATTTTCTCTCATCTTTCAGGTGTGTTGACTGGGTATGTTTTCAACACTTGTTCAAAAAGCTTCTGTTCATTGTCCAAGGGGTGAAGTGGGTGCATGAACCTTAAAATCATTCTGAAGGTGTTTCATTGTCTGCTTGAGGCAATGTTCTTTTTAAAGTTTATCAAAAACCTTTTTTGTTTGTCATCTTTTTGATGAGGGTCCAATTTTTGGAGGCTCTTTGCTTTGCCAGTAACACCTTTGGTGGTTGTCTTGACATCAGTAGAAGAATGTATGTTGATGTAATTAGCAATAACTTCCCAACTTCCCATCTTGAATTCATTCCAGCAGGGAAGAGATTCATAGCCTTAACTTGTAGCTGCAGATGTCTTCTTACCAGTTGTTGTTGTCACTTCCACCTCTGGCAGTATTTCGCTGCATTCTTAGATGCTTATCACATATGAGCCCCAGCTTCCTGTTTCTCTTTTGTAATTTGTTCATTCATTTCTTCTGTTTTTCCAGAGCAACCATTCCTACTTCTTTTGTAGATGATGTATTTCATTCAAGTACTATAAGCTTTTTAGTTCAAGCTGATTACAAAGTTTTTCTACTTCTTCCATCATTTCTTTTTTTTTCTTTTTTGAGACAGGGTCTCCCCCCGCCCCCCCCGTCACCCAGGTTGGAGTGCACTGGTGCCATCATAACTCACTGCAGCCTTGAACTCCTGGCCTCAGGCAGTCCTTCCACCTTGGCCTCCCAAAGTTCTAGGATTACAGGCATGAGCCATCACCTGGCCTTCTTCTATCATTTTAACCTACCCTGCCTCATTGTTGGAAAAGTGATTCCAGATCTTAGATGAGTTTCCAAGTTTTTGCCTTTCTTTCTTTTTCCTTTTCTTTTTCTTTCTTTCTTTCTTTTTTTTTTTTTTTTTTAAGCAGATGAGGTCTTACTATGTTGCTCAGGCTGGAGTGCAGTGGCTGTTCACAGGCATGATCATAGCCACTACAGCCTCAAACTCCTTGGCTCAAGCAGTCCTTCTGCCTCAGCCTCCCAAGTAGCTGGGAGTATAGGTGTATGTCACCCACCTAGCTTGCCATTCCTTGTAATGTTTTTTTGTTTTCCTTCTTTTTTGGATGTCTTTTTCTTTCTTTGCCAATAATACTTGTTGTCTAATTATCAGTTCTTTCTCCTTTGCTAATTGAGCAGCTTCTAATTCAGCTTATCTTTGTTTTTCTTTAGCTTCTTGCTCCTTTCGTTTTGCTTTTGTGTTGTTTTTAAATTGTGAACTTTTTTTCATTTCAATTCAGTGATTTGCATATGTAGCTAAGCAAGGCAGTTACAGTGTTTGCATTGCTTTGGAAATTCTTGTTATTTTATTGGGCTAAAATATTAATAACAAGTTTCTAAAGGCAAAATTTGAGATAGAAGAAAGTATTTTTCCAGTTTGTAAGAGAAATAAATTGCGCTATGACCTTTCTTAATGTCAGTGCCAAAGACCTGGCAGAATTTTCTTTGCTTTTGTTCCAGGCCTCTTCCCACCCTGACTTTCTGGTCTACGGTGAACCAGGCACCTCTTTTGTCTGATAATCTGTTTCAGTGTGCTTGCTCCTAGAGTGCCCTCCTTTGTTGATTACAGTAGTCTGTTCATTTTGATTTAGTCAAATTTATGTGCATAAACTCTTTGCATTGTAAACTTAGTTTGATTCTTGAGATTTAGTTTGATCTTGAGAGCTGGTTCCTTTCTTAGTTGACAGAGATATAATGGTTTTATTATCCCCAGCTGCTGAAAATGGAGGCCTCCTGATAGTTGTATGTTTTGGCAAGAAAGCAATCTAATATGAATTGGATAAAACTATACCATGTCACACATTAAAATAATGGGTTAACACTATTAAGAATGGGGTATGAGGCCAGGCATGGTGGCTCAGGCCTGTAATCCCAGCACTTTGGGAGACCAAGGTGGGCGGATCACCTGAGGTCAGGAGTTCGAGACCAGCCTGGCTAACATGGTGAAACCTCTTCTCTACTAAAAATACAAAAATTAGCTGGGCGTCGTGGCACACTCTTGTAATCCCAGCTACTAGGGAGGCTGAGGCAGAATTGCTTGAACCTGGGAGGTAGAGGTTGCAGTGAGCTGAGATCGGCCACTGCACTCCTGCCTGGACGACAGAGCAAGACTCCATCTTAAAAAAAAAGAATGGGGTATGCTTCAAAACCAAAGAACCATGAATAATCCATCACTTATTAAATATATATATATATAAGGTTTTGAAGAACAGAGATAAAACTTGGTTCCATTTTTACTAGTACTCTACCTGGTAATAGGAGTTAGAAACTTTAACTTTTTTTTTTTTTTTTTTTGAGACAGAGTCTCACTCTGTCACCCAGGCTGGAGTACAGTGGCACAATCTTGGCGTACTGCAACCTCCACCTCCCGGGTTCAAGTGATTCTTCTGCCTCAGGCTCCTGAGGAGCTGGAACTACAGGCATGCACCACCATGCCTGGTTAATTTTTTTTGTATTTTTAGTAGAGATGGGGTTTCACCATGTGGGCCAGACTAGCCTCGAACTCCTGACCTTGTGATCTGCCTGTCTCAGCCTCCCAAAGTGCTGGGATTACAAGCTTGAGCCACTGTGCCCGGCCTAGAAACTTAACATTTATAATTCAAGATCATTTACTAAAGGTTTACGCTTCAATTTTCTTTCTTTATTTTGTAGTATTATTTTTTGAGACAGGGTCTCACTCTGTCACCCAGGCTGTAGTGTAGTGGCACCATCATGACTCACTGCAGCCTCTACTTCCTGGGTTTTAGCAATCCTCCCACCTCAGTCTCTCAAGTAGCCTCAACGACAGGTGCATACCACCAAGTCTGGCTGTTTTTTGTGTTTTTGGTAGAGACAGGCACCATGTTGCCCAGGCTGCTTTCCAACTGCTGGGCTCAAGCAATCTACCCACCTCAGCCTCCCAAAGTGTTGGGATTACAGGCGTGAGCCACCACGCCTGGCTTTATGCTTCAATTTTCTAAAATAAATTATGGAGTTAATTTCTGACTTTTCACACTTAACTATATTCTTTTATGATTTGGGCTCTTTCAATTAGGTCTAATCCCAGTTTTCACAGAAGCATTAACAGAAAAGCCAAAGGGGGAACAACTCCATCAGCAAATAAATGGCTTTACAGTACATGTTTTCCATTTTATTGTTATTAAAATAATTTTTGGCGTGGACTATTTTGGGATATCGTTAAGCATATATTCTTCCTTAGATGACTTTGGTGAAAGTAATATTTACCCACTTCTCCATTGTCTTTTTCCTTAGATTTTAACCTTTGAGACCAAGAACCCGTCGGAATTAGCAGAACGTTTGCGCTCTGTTTGTGGGAATCAGAGCAATGCCTATGCCCGGCTGCTGGAATACCGCCTGAATGCCTTGCGAGGACTGTGGAATGCCCAGCGCCAGCTGGCCTTAGAAGAACAGCATGAAAGGGAAAGTTCAGGTGATGAGGAAACTTTGGCCCTGCTCAAACGCCAGGGCTTGTTGCAGCAACCTGAGCAAGCGCCCTTCACATCAAGGATGGGGCTCCTACTGGTCTTCCCCCTTATTCAGTCCCAGAGTAGAACAGACCCCTCTCTCTGTAACATAACTGCTGAGGTGCTATTGAACTGCCTTCGTGACTGCCAGCCTTTGAGCTTGACCAAGGAGCCTGCTGACTGTCTCAATGGAATTGAAACTTTGCTGTGCTCTTGGCTAGAGGAGACTTCTGACACAGGCCGACACATCCCACATAAGCAAAAAGAAAATGCTGCTGCTGCCCTGGTGGCTTTGGCTTGTGCCAGGTAAGGAAAATCGAATATATCATTTGGTGACCCTGTGACTACTGCCACCTGGTTTGGGTGAATGAAGAAGAGGCCAAGTATATTTGACAGAAGTCTTAACATTTAGAAGTCCTTCTTTGTTTTCAGTATTGAATTTCACCGCCTTGACAGTGCATGAGATGCTTTTGCCAAACTTGGCACCAGGTGCCTGAGCTGGAACCCAAGTTCACGTTTTCCATTTCTGGTATACCATGATAACAGCTTAAACAGCAGAAAAGGGAGAATCAACCCTTGACATATCTAATCGTCCCTTAGACGGTTAGTGTTTTACATCAGGTAGTTAGCAGAGGATGTTATGTCTGCTTCTCCTAGGAGGATGGTCAAAAATTTATAGAGGTATTAATTTTTCATGCTTGTCTATAAGAAGTACATCAGCAAGTTAGTGAGCTATTATTCACCTGGACTCCATCACAAAATTGGTCGTCACAAATTATATTTTTGGACCTAATACTTGTTTTGATCACTTTAATTGGAAGATTTCTCAGTATATATCCAGACTTAATAGTAGTACCTATGGCCGGACGTGGTGGCTCACGCTTGTAATCCTAGCACTTTGGGGGGCTGAGGTGAGCAGATCACTTGAGGTTAGGAGTTCTAGACTGCCCTGGCCAACATGGTGAAACCCTGTCTCTACTAAAAATACAAAAATTAGCCGGGCGCTGTGGTGGGCGCCTGTAATCCCAGCTACCTGGAGGCTGAGGCAGGAGAATCGTTTAAACCCAGGAAGTGGAGGTTGCAATGAGCCAAGTTGGCACCACTGCACCCTAACCTGGGCGACAGACCAAGACTCTGTCTTTTAAAAAAAAAAAAAAAAGTAGTATGCTGTTCTTCATGTGCAAGTCATCAGCCCACTGTCAATAGGAAATATGCTTAGAGTTGCTTTTCTTTTTGCTTTTCTCTTTTCTTTTTCTTTTCTCTTCTCTTCTCTTCTCTTCTCTTCTCTTTTTTTTGAGACAGTCTCACTCTGTCACCCAGGCTGGAGTGCAGTGGCATGATCTTGGCTTACTGCAACTTCCACCTCCCGGATTCAAGTGATTCTCCTGCCTCAACCTCCCGAGTAGCTGGGATTACAGGTGCCCAACTAAATTTTTTGTATTTTTAGTAGAGATAGGGTTTCATCATGTTGGCCAGACTGGTCTCAAATTCCTGACCTGAGGTGATCCGCCCACCTCAGCCTCCGAAAGTACTGGGATACAGGCATGAGCCACTGTGCCTGGCCTATTCTCTTTTTTTATTTTTTTTGAGATGGAGTGTTGCTCTCAAAGACTAGGCTGAAGTACAGTGATATGATCTGAGCTCGCTGTAACTTCTGCCTCCCTGGCTCAAGTGATCCTCCCACCTCAGCCTCCCGAGTAGCTGGGACTACAGGCACCTGCCACAATGGCTGGCTAATTTTGTGTATCTTTGGTAGAGACAGGATTTCCCTTTGTTGCCCAGGCTGCTCTCAAACTCCTGAGCTTAAGCAGTCTGCTGGCCTCGGTGGGATTACAGGCATGAGCCACCCCGCCAGGCCTGGAGTTGCTTTTCTAGGAATATACATTCTTCTACCCAGTGACCCATATGATCACTGGCATCTGTTTGTGAGAAAGAAGTTTCACTACCTTTGTTTTCCTCTAGACTAATTGCCTAGAGAACAGTTAGGACCACAGCCTGACAGATTAGTGTCACCATTCTGTCTGTCTTCCATAGAATTTTTTCCTTGGTTGGGATCTTCTTTCTTTTAGCCAAACATTTGTGGGAGAATTTTTCTTGAATAATTATGAAGTTCTTAGTTATAAGTCTTCTTCCCCTGTTTTTCTCTTTATAGTTTCAAAGTAGACCTTCAAATGATTGAATCTCAAGGGCTTTTTTTAAGGCAAAATGGCACCAGTATTTATTGTAAGTTTCTTTGCTCTGAGCAAGCTGTCATAGCCTAGTTTTAGATCCCCTGAAACTGTGGTTTGTGAATCCTGACATGTGCTTAATTTAAGTCATTGTGTGGTACTGAAATAAGTTTCCTTGTAAAGACTTTATATTGGGTTGATTTATTTTCTGCATATGCAGAGACAATTTCAAGTCCGAGATCTGTTATCAATGTGAAAATTCCATTTGAGAAAATTTGCTTTTAGACAGTACTATCTTTAGACAGATTTAGGATGTTAGGAATAATTATCAACTCTTTAGTTTCAAACAGTTTAAGTTATTAATCGTTGGTTCATAAAACTCACATTTTTATTATGTACCCAAATTCAGTCTATACCAAAGATAGTTATTGAAATTACTTCCTGTACTTGAGATTCTAAATTTCATTCAGCAGAAATGTTGAAATGGAGGTTTTTATTTATTTATTCTTCTTGTGTGTTTTTTTTTTTTTACATGGTTCCTACATTTTATTGCTAATACATTGTTCTGGACTTCAGAAGTCATGTGCTTTTCAGTGTTAGATCATCTTACTAAAGTTATTAGTGGCATATTATTGAATTTTTTGGTTGATGCTCTCCAAGACAGAGTAACCATTCCCCAAAATTATTATGAAGATGTTTATTCATTCAACCAACTAACATTTATTGAACATTTCTGATGTGCGGGAATCTTGTCCAGTCTTAGGGATGTAGTGATTCTAGGTTTCTTACCTCACAGAGCTTATGGTTGAATGGACTCAGGGTGAGTCATTCTCCAAAACCTTATTGCTTACTTACTGCATGGAAGGCATTCTCTTGGTGGTAGGGATACCGTGGAGAGCAGTTAGACCGTGCCTAATAATTGCGGAATACGTAAATGAGGGGATCACGGGTTCGTCAAGAGCTGGCGCCATGACGACGCTGGGTTGCAACTGATCCTCAGGCGTCTACAACGGACTAAGATAGATATGTGCATCGTGTAGGGGTCAAACTTGTCATTCACCTTCAATTTGAACGATGACTCATTCTGCCTAGCAGTGGCCTGATTATTCTTTTGTATCCAGGAGGACTCAATATGTTATGTAGAGAACCTCGGGCGGTAAAGCTGCCATTCGCGTGGAGTTCGTTCCGCTAATTGCTGCGTGTGTACGGCCCCTTACTGCCTAGACCTTCACTCATTTTCTCTTTACAAATATCTCGGTTACCATTTCTGGCATATTGAAGATCATTGTCACTGGCGAGAAGCAACGCACAGAGATGTTTCCAGTACAAATGGAAGGTGCCCAAGTGACTGAAACGTGACATTCTTCTTCGTGTTGGCGGTAGCTGAGGCACAGCACAGTGTGGCAAGAGACGCTTTCTGAATCTTGTGATGGAATAGCAGGAGGAGGGGCAGGGTCGAGGTGGCAGGGACCAAGATACCATAGGGGCTTGTGATCCAAATGAAGGACTTTTACCCACTTTATCTCTTAAAAATTGATCGAGCTGAGGGGGGCTATGTGCGCCATGTCTAGTTAATTCAGCGGTCTTTAGGGAAGGGCTGAAGCAAGAGGGATCTCTTGGAGCCAGGGGTTCGAGGAGCCAGTCTAGGCAAACGTATGAGATCCCTGTCTCTTTTTTTTTTTTTTTTTTTTTAAAGAATGGTCTCATTCTGTTGCCCGGCTGGAGTGCCTCAGTGGTGTGTCATCGCGCTCTCTCGCCAACCTTGAGATTTTGGATCTCAAGCAATCCTCTGCTCACCTCCTCAAGTTCTGGATTGCAAGGTGTGTCCACCTGCACCAGCAGACCAGTCTCTTTTAAAAAAAGCAAATCTGATGCATCTGCAGGTAAGTAATCTGAGTGGTTAATAGTTCTAAACTTGTCGTCCCATGTTGTAAAGGTTTTGCTTTTCTTATTTTAACCTCACTGTTCCCCAGGAAGTGTCGCGTTGGGCGATGAAGAACGGCAAAAATCCATAGGAGTTTAGGTTGACGGGATCTGGATTGTGCAACTGAGTGAGTGCGGCCAGGTTTTAGAACCCATGTGTCCCGATTCCAACTTGTTTTTCTACTCTATCTGCTGCCTCCTTGCCTTCTATTAATGCTATTCTTTGATTTTTATTCTCTGAAACTAGAGATAGCGAGAGGGGCAATTAAGAGGAGGACTCTAGGCCTACTTGGTTCTGTATTAGGTATTCCATTTCTATTGGTGTTTAGGCATGTGATACCCAGCAATTAAAACCTTGGCTAAGAGACTAAGGCAGCAAGTTGAAGTCAGCCCATCTGATACAGGCGATCATTTAGTTCAGGAAGTGTTCTTGTGGTGATTTGTACTTGGATTGCGGCCAGGTAAGTCTGTGCATCTTAAAAGCACCTTCTTTTAGATCTTGCTGACCATATGACAGACTTCCTAGAGCCTTGAGTCTTGGAAACCACAAGGAATTCTGGTAATGGTGAGCCCTGTTGCAAGTATTACAACTATGTGCAGTCAGAGGGATGCAGAAGGAGCATCTCTCAGCACAAAGCATTATCTATTTGAATATATTCCTTCTGGTCATATTTAATGTGATATTTATTTGAATATATTCCTTCTGGTCATATTTAATGTGATGGAGTTTAGTGAGCTGTTTTTCAAAATGAATGAACTTAGCAAAGATTTGAAAATCAAGTCTGGAAATACTGTTAGACTCTATGATCCTCCAGAGGGTGATTTGGTGATAGAGTAACCAAGCATAATAGCCACAAGTTCTCTGTGCTCGAGCCTTATGGTTTTGAACTTTTATGTTAGGGGAAAATTGTTTACTTTTCCAAATGCAAGGAGAACTCCTTCATAATTGGCATAGTGTTGTTTTCATTGTATCTTTGTGTATGAACCAATGGTGATAGTTAATAATCAAGTATATTTTGTACAGCACATCATCTGACCAGCAGAAGCAGAGAGACACATTTTGGAACTTTTCCATGTGGTTAATTAAATTAGCATTAATGACCTAAATTATTTGACTTTAAATTTTGATGATTTACTGTTCTTTCCTTTTATTTTTAGGGGATCATTGAAAACTTTCGTCCATACAGTCCATCTATTACAGAAACAGACGGATCTAGGGTCCCTGCCTGTAGCTGACGTGCTATATAGGTAAGCTGTCATTTTGTATCCTTATCCTCCTTCCAAACTAGGCAGTTTTGTGCCAAATGCTTCCTTTATTAAGTAGATTGCTAAACTCTTATCAATTAGTGATTGATTTTTAAATCAGTATAGACTCATGTTTACCTTCTTAAGTAAGAATTTTATTTTTTATCTTTCCTTTTTGGAAAGTTTTTAGAGCATGTTATTTTTCATTATTTTTTAGTTCAATGTCTTTAAAAATGCCATAGCTGGTGGGACACAATAACTCATGAGTGTGGTGGTACGTGCTTGTGGTCCCAGCTATTAGGGAGGCTGAAGCAGGAGGATTGCTTGAGGCTATGAGGCAGAGGTTACAGTGAGCCGAGATCACACCACTGCACTCCAGCCTGGGTGACAGGGCGAGACTCTGTTTCAAAAAATAAAAATCCAATAGCTTATAATGAATTCTGATGTTAATTTTGAGATGATAATATATTAAGGTATAAAGAAGAAAGTGAAAATCATTCATAATCTCATTACCCAAAGATAACTACTCCTAACATTTTGGTACATATGCTTCCTAATTCATAACCCACTCTCTCTCTCTCACACACACAAAAATACACATAAAATAGTACACTTTACACACAGGTATAATTTTGTTGTAACATTTTTATAAACACAGCTCCGTAATTTTTTAATTTAAAAATATTGTAGCTGGGTGTGATGGCTCATGCCTGTAATCTCAGCACTTTGGGAGGTCGAGGCGGGAGGATCACTTAAGGTCAAGAGTTCAAGACCAGCCTGCCAACATGGCAAAACCCCATCTCTACTAAAAATACAAAAAAACTAGCCAGGCGTGGTGGTGGGTGCCTATAATCCCAGCTACTCAGGAGGCTGAGGCAGGAGAATGGCATGATCCTGGGACGCGGAGCTTGCAGTGAGCCAAAATCACACCACTGCACTCTAGCCTGGGTGACAAAGCAAGACTCCGTCTCAAAAAAAAAAAAAAAAAAAAAAAACACAAAAATTAGCCGGGCATGGTGGTGGGTGCCTGTGGTCCCATCTACACGGGAGGCTGAGGCAGGAGAATTGCTTGAACCCAGGAGGCAGAGGTTGCAGTGAGCTGAGATCACACCACTGCACTCCAGCCTGGGTGACAGAGCGAGACTGTCTAAAAAAAAGAAAAATAAAAAATAAAAATACTGTGAATATCTTTTTTGAATAATATTTCTATAAAATATTATACATCTTAGTTTTAAGATTTTGGTTTCTACTCTTTGGGGTAACAGGTATACTTCTTGCTGAAATGGATTGTCTCAGTGTCTTTGTGATTTTCTTTCTGTCCCATATAGGCTGTTGCTTTTGGAAGGGGGGCCTGGATCTCCCTCCTGTTTGCTTGGGGGCAAACACATAGTATCATGGGGTTATGAAGACATGTTGCCTGCGCCAGATAGCAACACTGGCTCCAGTTCTGAAAATAAAGGTAATGTAAAAGTTTTTGTCCTGTGATTAATAGTAAGATGTAAATAAAGTGGTTTTAGATCACTGTAGCAAATGATTGGGATATAACTTTGTGTGTTCCTTTTAATTAAGAGCTCAAGATTTCTATTCAGTATATTCATTGTCTGCTTTATCAGTGAAAGTATAAAAGCTGATACTGGTGATGTAAGAAAATGGATAGGTTTTATTATCACAAGGAAAAGGTATCATCCATACACTCTTGCCAAGGAGCCATGAATTACTTAAATTGACTACTGGATATTTGAGTTTGGGTATGATAGCCTTAAGTTGAATTTTCTTGTCTGCTAATAGAATATCAGGTCTTACTGCTTGATAATATTTCCTTTAGTAATTTTTCTGTGTGTTAATGAGCTCTCCTGTTCTAAAAGCAAAAAATGAAGAGGTTCAAGGGAGCATGCATTGTTAACATCTCCTTTAAACAAGTAGGCTAGGTTAAAATGTTTTTACAGAGCTTTACAATATTACATGTCAGCTTCTTACATTATCTCAACAAATGGCAGAAGCTGTCTTAACTGGCTTGCCAGATGGGTTAGACCTCTCCATTCACTCAATAAAATGTCTAGGCTGCTGCCCTGCCGTGGTCCACTGAACCCACAGGGCTGGTCAGCTCTGCTCCCACCAGCGGAGTTGCAGGCTTGCTCCCAAACCAGTTTGTTAATTGTAACTGGTACTTACTGTTGTGATAATATCATTAAATCTTACATAACTGATGAAATAGGAATGAAAAAAAAAAAAAAGGAAATAGTTGCCATTAAGAAGTTGAATGTTTTAGAAAGACTCCACGAAGTGAGTCTCTAAGAAACTGGCGTTCATCAGGTGTGGGATTGAGAGTCTGTTCCTCCCTCCCTTTCATTTCCCACCCTCCATGGGGCAGCCTTCCTGGGCAACCCCACCAGCACAGAGGAGAATCTAAGCGGCAGGCCCCCTCGCATCTCTCAGCCCAGGGCTTGTGCCTTTCCATGGTCTACTATTTCTTCTAAACAGGCATGCGAGTGTGTGGAGAAGAAGAGGCAAGGCTTTTAGGTATGATTTATTTCCTTCACTGACTCAACCAGAGTCAACAGGAGAGGGAGATGCCTGCAGTACCCAAGAAGTTCTCAGACATTATAGGCTCCAACTTCTTAACACAGAAAACGTCTTTCTTGATTTTCTCCTTTTAAAAAACTCCATTTGGTATCTTCCTGGGTGTAGTTTCTCACTGAGGAGGATGGTCTGGTCTGTTTGCTTTCATTTTCCTGAACCTTTGGTTTTGCGTCTAGGGAGAGAATGGTTTTCTTTTTTTTCTCTCTCTTTTTTTTCTTCTCTTGTTTTTCTTTTTTTTTTTTTTCAAGATGGGGTCTTGCTCTATTGCCCAAGTTGGAGTGCAGTGGTGCAATCACAACTGCAGCGTCGGCTTTCCAGGCTCAAGCCATCCTTCCACCTTAGCCTTCTAGGTAGCTGGGACCACAGGCACACACCAACAGGCCTGGATTATTTATTTCTTTGTTTGTTTGTTTGTTTGTTTATGTAGAGACTAGGATCTCGCTTTGTTGCCCAAGCTGGTCTTTAACTCCTAGGCTCAAGCCATCCTCCCATCACCTCTGCTTCCTGAAGTGCCAGGATTACAGGTGCGAGCCACGGCACCTGGCCTGTTTTTCTTATAATAGTTTTTAGACTAATTTACGTAATTTTTTTTTTTTTTTTTTTGAGATGGAGGTTCGCTCTCGTTGCCCAGGCTAGAGTGCAATGGCGCGATCTTGGCTCACTACAACCCCTGCCTCCCAGGTTCAAGCAATTCTCCTGCCTCAGCCTCCATGGTAGCTGGGATTACAAGTGCCCACCACCATGCCTGGCTAATTTGTGTGTTTTTAGTAGAGATGGGGTTTCGCCATGTTGGCCAGGCTGGCCTTGAACTCCTGACTTCAGGTGATCTGCCTGCCTTGGCCTCCCAAAGTGTTGGGATTACAGACATGAGCCACCGTGCCCAGCTGCAATGTAACTTGTAATATTGGAACATTCTACATTCGACTGAAGTTGAGAGAACACTATAATAAGCCCTGTGTACTCATTACTCAGCTTCAACAAGTATCTACTCCTGGCCAATCTTGTTTTGTTTGTCCTTTTCACTTCTGCCCCTCGACAGAGCCATACCCAGAAGGCCTTGGGCCTTAATCTAAAGATTGAGGAATAAATGTAGTCTATGAGCTTTAAATTACAATGTTTAAGGTGTGAAATTAGTGTTTTAAAAATGGTTACCCACTTTAACGAATTTTTTTATTGAGGAACTAATAGGTACAGGTCCCAGTTGTCTCAGATTAGTAGACTGAATTTTTAAGCTAATAGCATTTTTAGTACTAATTTGATGGTGTGACATTGTATTTCCTTCAGCTAAAATGGCATGCTTCAGGTGGAAAGACCCCACTTAAACATAGTAAGCAGAATGATTATGAAAATAAACACTGAAGGTTTTATCCATAAGCTCTATTTTAAGGCAAATTCTTTGGAATATGAGTTACTAAACCAATTACTATCATATAGAGAGATACTGTTTTAGATTGAGGAAGACAGAGCTAAGGGGAAACATATTGCTGTTTTAAAATAGAAAAGATATTAAACTTTTGTGCTGTGTCCCTCCAGAGACTAAAATTAGGATCTCTGAATGGAAAATCTACAGAAGCAGATTTTAATTTAGTGTATATCATTAGTATATGAATACAATTTCATTTGCCATTTATGGAATACTGGCTTTGCATCAGAGAGCAGTATAGATGTATTTACCTCTATTATCTCATCTGGCCAACACTGTAACCCTTGAGGTACTTATTATTATCCACATCTTACAGATGAAGAAACTGATGTTCAAAGAGATTCAGAGTCACTTACTGAGCTCATAAGAGCTCATGCCTCTCTTACTATGCAATTACTAATAAAAGTGTTGTACTGTATTCTTAGTCATTTCAAATTAGAATTAGGATTAGTCATTTCAAATTAGAATTAGGAATGACTTGACTCAGTACAAGCTTTTCAAAAAAAAAAGAAAGAAAAACATTTGGTGGGGTAAACCACATTCCCCTGCTGTTAACTATCTGACCTTATTTTGGTCCCTGGTCCACATGCATTTTGGATGTTTGATTTGGGGGTTCAAGCCATCTTCCCTGAAAGTCACACTGAAGCTCTTATTTTAGAAGTGAGAGGTAATCTTTCATTTAACCTCCTAATGGCTTTTTCATTAGAAAAAGCATGTTTATAATTCCAATTGAAAAAACATATATATAATTTACCTGTGAAAAAACGATTTCAGATGCTGACTTGGGACGCTGTCTCACGGCAGACGGTCTTTACCTGTATACTACTAACTCAGTTGGAAGAGGAGTAAGCAAATTGGGGTCTGGATTACATGGTACTCTCAGGTCAGTTGCATGGAACTTCCTAAATGATTGGGCTGGAACATTTTCCTCCTTACATACATCTCTGAAGAAAACACTGGGGGTAAATTCCGACTCCCCATACACTAGTAACTAAATAACAAGTCTGAACTAATTCAAATAATTCCAATCTTCTCTTATTGCCACCTTTCCCCATCTTGTTCTGTTAATGCATTTTAGCCTTGTTTTGGCCCAGAAGAGTTTGGTAGCCCTAAGATCATTGTTTCCAGCCAGAAAGTCCTCTGTGATCAGTATTTTTGTAACAATATCAGTGACTTCTCCATGTTGATAAGTGGACATTTTTCTACTTAAGTCTCTTTGAACTTGGGTTTGACATTGGATTGGCAAGTGATTTTCAGTTGGGATATAAGATCTATAAACTGTTGCCAAAAGAAACTGCAGTTTGAGAGCCTTGTATACATTTAGATCTTTTCCCCCAACTTTTTCTTCCCTCTAAGTTATTGTGGAAAGTCAATATTTGCTATAGTTTTGCGGTCCTCAAATTGATGTAATACATTCACTTTCCTTCAGATGTTCTACATACTTAATCATTTTTTAAAATTAGGTCAAAAATGTTGTTTGTGTCTGTTGTAGCTTGTGTGAGGTTCCGACATAGCCGGGTGATTCAGCCTGTGCTCCGTTTCCTTCCACAGAGGTTTTGTGTACTGCCGGAATGAGGAGTTGGAACCAGGATGGGTGGCTTTTGGCAGTGGCAGTCTTCTCCACCGGCCTGTCTCTTTCGATAATAAACCTCACTCCCTTTTCCAGGTCATTGACCAGAACACCCTTCAGGTAAACAGAAAACCAAGGCATTTAAAAAATATATGTATTTTAGAGGCAATAAAGTTCGTTCCTGACATCATCAGAAGTAATAATAATACAGTTGGTATATTTTCCTCCCAGAGTGGCATCCTTTTAATTGTTATAGTTTGGGCATTCTGCTTTTTATTTAATGTCTTAGACTTTTCCCATATGAACTGAGTGAATGTGTTCTCTAAGTTTCTACAGCCTACAACAAACTTTTTTTTATAATTAAGAAAAAATTCTAAACAGTCAAAGATGGTATAAATACTAGCTTTTTTTTTTTTTTTCTTTTTTCTTTTTTTGAACGAGATCTATTTTGGGAAGGCATCATTTCCTTATTCAATTTGTTCTAAACAGCCTCTCTGTGGGAAAGGGAGCTTTGAAATGAGTGTAGAGTAAAATTATTGTGTGCTAGGGATTGAGAGCTTGGCTTTAGTGCTCTCGTAAGCACTCTGCCATGGCACTTGCTATCTTACACTGCAGTTACCTGCTTTTCTGTCAAACTTCACTGACCATGCACACCTTTAGGTATGGACCCTGTCCTACTCATCTGTATATCCCTAGAACATAACACAGTACCTGACATTTGACTGATAATAACAACAATGATGGTAACAACCATTCCTCAGTATCTCCTATTTGCTAGGCCCTGGCCTAGGCAATTTACCTACTCTTCCTCTTCCTACCTGCGAGGCATTACTATGTAGGTTTATCTTACAGATAAGGCAACTGAGTCTAGGCACCTAGTAAGCATTCAGTAAATGTTTATTGTTGAGTGAAAGAATACAGCTCAGAGAGGTTAAGTAACTTGCCTAAGGCCATACAGCCAATAGTAGCAGCACCAGAACTTGAACCTTTGGTTCTCTGCCCAGGAGTTTGACTCTTTACACTGCAACTTTCTGCCTTTCAAACAAAGTTGGATTAAATGATTAGAGGTGGCATCTGTGGAGTGCTCAGAGAGTAGTCATATCTAGAAATTAAGTGTAATGTTACATTTCTTCTTGTCACTCAATTGCCTGTCCTAGAGAACAGGGACTGAGTCTTGTTCACCACTGTCATCTCCAGAGCACAATAGTAGGTGCTCAATAATTGCTGGATGAATAAAATGAACAAATTAACAAATAGATGCCCAATTAACCTAATTTCTTGTCACAAGTACAGTCAGATGAGAATGTCTCATACTCATTTGAAATAGAAGTTATAAGACTGGAAGTTAAACAGATGTTAAATCTCAGAACATGGTTTACATTTGAAGTAATTCCGGGTTCCTCAGTGTTGTTGCAGAAACTTTGACACTGTCCAGCAAAGCAGGGCTGTAGGTCACAAACTAGATATGTGCATTGGAATGGAGCACTTTGGGGATAACACAGGCCAATTAGTAGCTGTCAACTTTTTAGTCTTCCTGGCACTGTAGGTTCAAAGTATGGTTACATCAACTAAATGAGTTTTTACTTTTGAGCTAGACAAAACAGGTCTGGAAAAAAGTTCATGTGAAATCACTTGAGGGGTCAGAGATAGCCTTGGGAAAACTAGTGCCCCCTCCCAAAGTAATGGGGAATTGAACACTGTTCTTCTGTTCTCTGAAGGCATCTGACCTTCTCTAATTATTTTTATTTTGAGTTTCTCAGCTCTTCTATTTCTGGATTTTTTTTTTTTTAAACCTAGCCAGCAGGTTTTTGTGGTCCTAATGTTCCATCATTTTAAGTGCTTATCTTTGGCAGTAAAAATTAGTATGTAGCTACACATTTAACGTGAAATGATGCAAAGCTTATTCATTATGCTGAAACAGAAGAATGTTTAATATTAGAAACACGTGCCTTCATGTTTAATATACAGAATTGGTGTTTCTTTTTTCTTCCTGATGGACTTGGTGCATTTCAGTAAGCCCTTCTGTGCTAAGTTAGGATCTGTCGTGGGCCTTTATATTTTTTACTTTGTTTCTCCTTCTCCCTCTTCTCAGCTTTTCCTCTTGGCTTTCTTTTGCTGTCTTTTTTTCCTTCTTTCCATATTCTTTAAATAACTTTGAGTTAGGCTTTCCATTAGGTACTGGAGATATAGAGGTGAACAAGACACAGTTCTTGTCCTTTAAATAAAATTATCTTAAATTCATTTACTAAAGAAATTTCAGAAAGTACTGCTTCTCTAAAACTTTGTTTTTAATAAGTGTTAGATACAACACATATGCATAACAGATTCAAAGTGTTTAGTAAATACTTTTTCCTATTAAAAAATAATTTGAATTAATCCCAAGAACCTTTTCATCTGCATTGCCCATTGTATGAACTTTCATATTTTTGCTATGTAATTTGTGTATATTATTCTTAGAGATAAATATCCATTCTATTTTGACCAGAAAGCCTAGTGAATTCTCACCTTGGACATAATGGCATTCATGATGAGCTGGTAGGATTAATCAGAATTTATATGTGGCTCTAATGGAGATTTCCTCCCTTTCATGCCCAGGTGTGCCAGGTGGTGCCAATGCCAGCCAATCACCTCCCCATTGGCAGCACCATGAGCACTGTGCACCTGTCTTCAGATGGCACTTACTTCTATTGGATCTGGTCTCCTGCCAGCCTGAATGAGAAAACACCAAAGGGACATTCTGTCTTCATGGACATTTTTGAACTTGTGGTAAGTTTGAACTTTCTCGCTTGTGTCTTTGCAGAAACATTTCTGTTTGCTTTCTTTTTATATTGGTGTGCAAAGAGCCTAAGAACCTTGCAGCATGTATAGTGTGTTCAGTGTTTCCTTAAAATTGATTTTTCTCTTAGATGCCTTTGAAGGTTTCTTTGTTTGGAGTCATATGACGTAAGTAGAGCCAAACTTTCTGAAGGTTAATCTGGTGACTGGAGATAACATTATTTAATGTGTAGACAGCAGGGTATTTAAGGAGAAATGCTCACGGGCTGTTGGAAATGTGGGACAACATTAGAGTAGCAAGAATGGGTCACAGATAGAAATTGGGAGTCTGTGAGAGAGATAACAACATTGTGACATGTCATTTACCTTTTGGATATTAGCCAAATGCTCACTGAGAGCCAAGTGTGTTCTATCTAGTTGGTGGGAGTACAGAGATGGACAGGGTGGGCAGGGTTCTTGCCCAAATGTGATGTGTATTCAGGCCCCAGAGTTGGGTGGGTTGGGGTGATGGTGGTGGAGAGACATAAAGATTAACCATAAACAAGTGAGCAAATAAATGCACAAGATAATCCTAGTTAGTGAAGGAAAAGTAGTCGTGTACCAGATGAAGAGGCTGGGGAGTAGGTGAGGGAAGAACATTTCAGGAAGAGGAGACCACACATGCAAAGTGTCTGTGGCAGGAGCCAGCATGTTTTAGGGAGAAAAAGTGGGCCAGAGTGGCTGGAATGCAGAGAGAGGAGGAGGGCTTGGGGTAAGGAGCAGCTGGTAGCCACGGCACTTTAGATCCACACCATCCTGCACAGTGGCCGCTAGCCATACGTTGCCATTTAAATTTCACTTGAAATTTAATAAAATTAAAACTGGAGTGGCTTAGCTCTATTAGCCACAGTTCAAGTGCTCAGCAGCCATATGGCTAGTGGCTTCTTCGTTAAACAGCAAAGATATAGACCATTTCCATCATGAAGAATGTTCTATTGGACAGAGCTGGTCTAGGTAGTATTTGTAGAGACTTATAAAAGAACAAATTGCCCCAAGCCAGGTCTGTGACAAAACTTTTTTTCATGAGATAATTTACAGTCTCCTTTTGGGAAGAAATTAGCATTCCTTTAAAAAAAAAAAAAAAAAAACCAAAGCAATTTTCTAATAAATTATAACAGGATTAAAACATGTTCTGGGAAACCAGTCATCCAACCCAACAGCAGACTATCAGTCAGGAGTCTTGTAACCTTTAACTGTGAATGTTCTTTTCCTAGTGAATCTCACAGTGTCCTCTAACCATTATCTTATAAAATGTCCCTGCCAGAGAGAATCTTTGAATTGGTCTGCTAGAGATTGAACATGTGTTCGTAATTGTCAGAAAAGCTTTTTTTTTTTTTTTCAAATTGGTTTTTAAACAGACTTACCAGCTGTTTAAGGAATTTTCATTTAGGTCTTGGCTGAGCACAGTGGCTCATGCCTGTGATCCCAGTGCTTGGGAGGCTGAGATGGAAGGATCTCTTGAGCCCAGGAGTTTTAAAAAGGGAGCTGGAACTTAAAGTGGCAGTGTTTGTCTGAGGTGACGGTGCTCTGGTACACCTCATCCTCCCACCTCAGCCTCCCAAGTAGCTGGGACTTAGCTGTGCATGACCACACCCAGCTAATTTTTGTGTTTTTTTGTAGAGACAGGGTTTCACCATGTTGCTTGGGCTGGCTTCAAACTCCTGAGCTCAAGTGATCAGCATGCCTCAGCCTCCCAAAGTGCTAGGATAAGAGGCCTGAGCCACCACACCTGGCCTCCCTCTTTCTTTTCTGATTTCACCTAGCATATTGATTTCCTTTGTTTTAGTTTTTCTTTTAGTTATCTTTGTAATTTACAGTTAAACCTTTATTTCTTGTTCATGAACTCTAGGCAGTATCTCTTATCCCCCTACTTTAGAAGATAAGATGGAGAGTGTAGTGTCCTTTCTCATACTTTTTTGTGGAGAAAGCCAAGTATACATTTAGGGGAATACCAGAGGAAGAGAGATGACTCACCCCACCAACCTTAGAGCATCTTAGCAACTGGGAGATCAGATGTGGTGCAGAGCCATTGTGAGACAAGGTGGTAGAAAGAGTTTACATAAGGGCCTGCAGGCCCCCTTCCTGTTCACACATTTGCATTCAGATGCTGGCTGTCCAGGCCCAAGACTTAGTTATTTTCTGAAGAAACTGAATGACCCTGTTTGAAAAAAGACCTCTCATACTGATGTTGGGGTCATCTAAGGGAAAAGACTTGCCTCTCTGGTGAATCACCCACAAGTGATGTCTTCCAGCAAGCAAGCCTCAACCCTGTCCACAGAATTCCTGATTAGTGCTGAACTGTTAAAAAAAAGAGCAGACAAAATAAAAACCCAAACAAACAAAATTCTAAACTTTGGAGAGGTATGTGTGTGGAGGGGAGGCAAATGGGTTAAAAAAAATAGTGCTAATGATTGAAGCCAGGGGTTCAGCACATAGGAAGCTCATTATTCTATTCTTTCTTCTTTTGTGTATATTGAAAATTTTCCCTAATAAAAAGTTTTAAAATTAAACAAAAAGAGCAGACTACCAAGGGTTACTAGAAAAGTGAGGAAAGCTTCTAATATGAAGGTTAAAAATGAGAAAAAGTTAAAAAACAGCTAACTGGTCTCCCGCCGCCCAAGATGCTGAAAGGAAAGAAGGCCAAGGAGGGGAAGGTGGCTCTGGCCCCTGCTGTTGTGAAGAAGCGGGAGGCCAAGAAAGTGGTGAATTTTGAAAAAAGGCCTAAGAATTTTGGCATTGGACAGGACATTCAGCCCAAAAGAGACCTCACCTACTTTGTGAAATGGCCTACTATGTCAGGTTGCAGCGGCAGAGAGCCATCCTCTATAAGCAGCTGAAAGTGCCTCCTGCGATTAACCAGTTCACCCAGACCCTGAACCGCCAAACAGCTACTCAGCTGCTTAAGCTGGCCCACAAGTACAGACCAGAGACAAAGCAAGAGAAGAAGCAGAGGCTGTTGGCCCAGGCTGAGAAGAGAGCTGTTGGCAAAGGGGACATCCCCACTAAGAGACCACCTGCCACCTTGGTAGAGAACAAGAAAGCTCAGCTGGTGGTGATTGCACACAACGTGGATTCCTTCGAGCTGGTTGTCTTCTTGCCTGCCCTGTGTTGTAAAATGGGGTCCCTTACTGCATTATCAAGGGGAAGGGAAGACTGGGCCGTCTAGTCCACAGGAAGACCTATACCACTGTCGCCTTCACACAGGTGAACTTGGAAGACAAAGGAGCTTTGGCTAAGCTGGTGGAAGCTATCAGGACCAATGACAACGGCAGATACAATGAGATCCGCTGTCACTGGGGAGGCAGTATCTTGGGTCCCAAGTCTGTGGCTTGCATCGCCAAGCTCGAAAAGGCAAAGGCTAAAGAACTTGCCACTAAACTGGGTTAAACGCATACTGTTGAGTTTTCTGTATGTAAAATTAAAATAATACAAATTTTCCTTAAGAAAAAAAAAAAAACCAGCTAGCTGAAGAAATAGAGTAAAACTTCACATAAGCACTAACTGCTCTGTGAGATATGTGAAGATATTGCATTCATATTATAAAACAGGAAAGGATGCCTCAAAAAGGAATTATCAGGGAATGAGAAAACTAAAACTATGATTATCCAAATTTGAAAATTAGTAAAAGAGTTAAGAAATATTTGAGAAAGAACAAGTAGATAAAGAACAGTAAATATGAGAGAAAAGATAAAAGATGTGTGGAGCCATCCATCTAAAGTCTTGCTAATAGGAGTTCCAAAAAGAACAGAAAATAAAGAGGATGACATGATCAAGAAATAATATAGGCGGGAGTCTGGGTGTGGTGGTTCACACCTGTAATCCCAACACTTTGGGAGGCTGAGGTGGGCAGATCACGAGGTCGGGAGTTCGAGACTAGCCTGGCCAACATGGTGAAACCCTGACCCTACTAAAAATACAAAAATTAGCTGGGCATGGTAGTGGACACCTGTAAAGCCTAGCTACTAGGAGACTGAGGCAGGAGAATAGTTTGAACCTGGGAGGCTCCCCCAAGGCGGAGCTGAGATCGTGCCATTGCACTCCAGCCTGGGCAACAGGGCGAGACTCCATCTCAAAAAAAAAGAAGTAATACAGGCTGGGTACAGTAGTTCATGCCTATAATGCTAGTAGGGCCAAGAAGTTCAAGACCAGCCTGAGCAACATAGTGGGATGCTACCTCTACACATTTTTTTTAAGATTATTCAGGCATGATGGCACACTACTGTAGTCGTAGCTACTCGGGAGGCTGAGGCGGGAGGATTGCTTGAGCCCTGGAGGTCAAGACTGCAGTGAGCTGTGATTGCACCACTGCATTCCAGCCTGAGTGACAGAGTGAGAACCTGTCTCAGAAAGAAAAAAAAAAAAAAAAAGAAACAATACAGGAAAGATTTCAGACCGAAGGATGTTGGCATCTGGATTAAAAGGTATCTGACACAGTGAATGCAAAATGCCCACACCATCATGAAATTGCAGATTACCAAGCATAAAAGAGGATTCTAAAGCTTCCAGAAATTAAAAATATATATATACACAAATGTTGAGCAATTCCAAAAGCACCAGGCTGTCCAGTAGCATTCCTGGATGCAAAAATGGAGCAGTACTTTCAAAATTCTGAGGGAAATTGTTTTTGTTTGTTTGTTTCTTTTCTTTTTTTTTTTTTTTTTGAGATGGAATATTCCTCTGTCACTCAGGCTGGAGTGCAATGGCATGATCTTGGCTCATTGCAACCTCCACCTCCCAGGCTGAAGTAATTCTCCAGCTTCAGCCTCCCTAGTAGCTGGGACTACAGGCCATCATGCCCAGCTAATTTTTGTATTTTTAGCAGAGATGGGGTTTCACCATGTTGGCCAGCCTGGTCTCAAACTCCTGACCTCAAGTGATCCACCCCCTTGGCCTCCCAAAGTGCTGGAATTACAGGCGTAAGCCACTGTGCCTGGTGTTGGATCTTCCTTTTT